AGGAATTTAAGGAATTTAAGGAATTTAAGGAATTTAAGGCATTTAAGGAATTTAAAAAATTTCAATTTAGGCCCAGAACCAATTTAATTTAATTTAGGAATTTAAGGAATTTAAGGAATTTCGGCCTCTTTAAATTCTTTAAATTCCTTAAATTCCTAAATTAAATTCAATTGGTTCTGGGCCCTAATTTAAAATTTTATAAATTCCTTAAAATCCTTAAATTTCTTAAATTCCTAAATTAGGGCTAATTTAGGAATTTAAGGAATTTAAAGAACTTAGGCCTCTTTAAATTCTTTAAATTCTCTAAATTCCTTAAATTCCTAAATTAGCCGTAACTTAGGAATTTAAGGAATTTAAGGAATTTAAGGAATTTAAGGAATTTATAAAGGAATTTATAAAAATTTTAAATTACGGCCCAGAACCAATTTAATTTAATTTAGGAATTTAAGGAATTTAAGGAAGTTCGGCCTCTTTAAATTCTTTAAATTCCTTAAATTCCTAAATTAGCCCTAATTTAGGAATTTAAGGAATTTAAAGAATTTAGGCCTCTTTAAATTCCTTAAATTCCTTAAATTCCTAAATTAAATTAAATTGGTTCTGGGCCCTAATTTAAAATTTTATAAATTCCTTAAATTCCGTAAATTCCTTAAATTCCTAAATTAGGGCTAATTTAGGAAATTAAGGAATTTAAAGAATTTAGGCCTCTTTAAATTCTTTAAATTCCTTAAATGCCTAAATTAGCCCTAATTTAGGAATTTAAGGAATTTAAGGAATTTAAGGAACTTAAGGAGTTTAAGGAATTTATAAAATTTGAAATTACGGCCCAGAACCAATTAAATTTCATTTAGGAATTTAAAGAATTTAAAGAATTTAGGCCTGTTTAAATTCTTTAAATTCCTTAAATTCCTAAATTAGCCCTAATTTAGGAATTTAAGGATTTAAAAAAATTTAAATTAAGGCCCGGCCTCCTTAAATTCTTTAAATTCCTTAAATTCCTAAATTCTGCTTGAAGAAGCCAAGCCACACGCCAAATAGTACATAAAGGTCCTTCGTACTGAGGGGTTTAGGGGTTCAGGGGTTCAGGGGTTCAGGGTGTTGGGTTTAGGGGATTTTTTGGGGTTTGCTGGGACATTTAGGGCTAAGGGCATTTTAGGGCTCAGGGCCTTTTAGGGATCAGGGCTTTTTTAGGTTTTAGGGCTTTTCAGGGTTTAGGGCTTAGCGCTTTTCAGGGTTAAGGCCTCTTTTGGAGGGTCTAGGGTTTAGGGTCTTTTAGGGCTTGGGGGCTTTTTAGGGTTTAGGTCTTTTCAGGGCTTAGGGCCTTTTAGGGATCAGGGCTGTTTAGGGTTTAGGGCTTTTTGGGGTTTAGGGCTCAGGGCTTTTTTAGGGTTTTGGGCTGTTTAGGCTTGAGGGTTCTGGGTTAAGGGCTAACAGCGGGGGGTTGGGGGGGGCGCAGCCCCCCCCCCATTTGCAAACACAATGCTCGCACGGCTTCAACAAGATCCACATACTTTGAAGTACACTTTGCACAGCTTTAAAACCAAAAAATGCAGGGGGGTTGGGGGGGTGCATGTACGATGGGTTTCAACAAGGTTCATATGGGTCATGTGCCTTGAAGCATGCTTGCGCGGCCAAAAAACAGTGGGGGGTTGGGGGGGGGGCACAGCCCCCGCCCCCCCATTTGCAAACACAATGCTCGATGAAGCACGCTTGCACAGCATATTTAACTTTGAAGCATGCTTCTGCACGGCTTTGAAGAGAAAAAAAACAACGCAGCGGGGGGTTGGGGGGGGCGCAGCCCCCCCCCCATTTGCAAACACAATGCTCGCACGGCTTCAACAAGATCCACATACTTTGAAGTACACTTTGCACAGCTTTAAAACCAAAAAATGCAGGGGGGTTGGGGGGGTGCATGTACGATGGGTTTCAACAAGGTTCATATGGGTCATGTGCCTTGAAGCATGCTTGCGCGGCCAAAAAACAGTGGGGGGTTGGGGGGGGGGCACAGCCCCCGCCCCCCCATTTGCAAACACAATGCTCGATGAAGCACGCTTGCACAGCATATTTAACTTTGAAGCATGCTTCTGCACGGCTTTGAAGAGAAAAAAAACAACGCAGCGGGGGGTTGGGGGGGGCGCAGCCCCCCCCCCATTTGCAAACACAATGCTCGCACGGGGTTTTTCCAACACAACACGGCGCAGCCCCCCATTTGCAAACACACACGATGGGCTTTTCAACAAGATTCATATGTTTTGCAGCACGCTTGCACGGCTAAAAATAAACAGCGGGGGGGTTGGGGGGGGGCGCAGCCCCCCCCCATTTGCAAACACAATGCTCGTACGATGGGCTTCACTCGAACTCGAACTCGATTCCGCAGCGGTCTGGTCTGACCTACTAGCTAGCTGTAGTTCATGACATATGTCACGGCCGCTCTGTGGCGGCGGTTAACAGCTTCGGGTATGGACAGCAAGAGACGTCCTGCAGGAACCGGAGTTCAACTAGACTGCAGGCAAAACGGTCTCAAGCGCAACAGAGCCTACCTGGACCTACCGTAAACAGGAAAGAAACGCGCACTCACAAGCTCAAATATACAGTGTATGTACAGGAGATACTATACTACGGCCGGTCTCACAGTTCGCTCACTCACAGGGCTAAACAGTGTGGGCACGCATGTGCCGCAAATGTCCGGGGGCCGATGAAAGAACGGCACCCCCCGTGCTGATGGAACAACGCATGGCTGCATTTGGTGGCATGGTTGAAAAAAGGACTCGGTACACTAAAGAAGAAGAGCAAAAACACTCAGGGAGAGTATAGCCATCTCATTTTCTCATCGCTCAAGACTCCGTAGCTGGGCGATCTGGGCATGAGATGCTGGTATCATGGCGCTGTGGCCGGAAGGTCGGCTTCACATGTGCCTTCCCTGTACATAAGAACAGAGACAAAAGACTCAGACAGGGTTGCTAGCCTGTCCCCCCGTGCACCCGAGAGGGGGGTGCACCCCCGCTTCTGTGAGAAAAATAAGCTCTCATCGTCAGGCCGATCCGCCTTCCACGATGGGCTTCAACAAGACGCATCGGCTTTGAAGCACCGCGGTGGTAAAACCCCAAAACTACCAATCCGGAGGCCGGGCGCGTTTTTTTTTTGCTGTGGAGGCGCGGGCTCACTCACTCACTTGTTGGTCTGCCCTGGCTGCGTACTCGTCCCTCGCCAGGGCGCGTTTTTTTTGTTGCTGTGGAGGCCGGGCGCTTTTTTTTTTTTTGCTCCGGAGGCCGGGCGCGTGTTTTTTTCTTGCTGTGGAGCCGCGGGCTCACTCACTCACTTGTTGGTCTGCCCTGGCTGCGTTCTCCTCCCTCGCCAGGGCGCGTTTTTTTTTTGGCTGTGGAGGCCGGGCGCGTTTTCTTTTTTGCTCCGGAGGCCGCGCGCGTTTTTTTTTTGCTGTGGAGGGTTCACTCACTCACTTGTTGGTCTGCCCTGGCTGCGTACTCCTCCCTCGCCAGGGCGCGCTTTTTTTTGCTGTGGGGGCCGGGCGCGTTTTTTTTTTTGCTCCGGAGGCCGGGCGCGTTTTTTGTTGCTGTGGAGGCGCGGGCTCACTCACTCACTTGTTGGTCTGCCCTGGCTGCGTACTCGTCCCTCGCCAGGGCGCCTTTTTTTTTGCTGTGGAGGCCGGGCGCGTTTTTTTTTATTTTTGCTCCGGAGGCCGCGCGCGTTTTTTTCTTGCTGCGGAGGCGCGGGCTCACTCACTCACTTGTTGGTCTGCCCTGGCTGCGTACTCGTCCCTCGCCAGGGCGCGTTTTTCTTTTTGCTGTGGAGGCCGGGCGCGTTTGTTTTTTGCTCCGGAGGCCGCGCGCGTTTGCTTGCCAGGGAGCCTCTTGGGCCGCGTTACGAGCAAACGTCTCCCCTTGCAAGAGCACATCTGCCACTGATGCACCATGGCATGGTCAAAACTGAGTCAAAACACATGCTTTTGACATTCGTACTGGCTTGCCTGGATGGCTCGCTGCTTCAGTTGGTTGACGTAGTCCAGATACGCCTGGTGGTCACCTCCAGGACTTGCTGCTTCTTTTCACTCAGGGCGGCAACAGACGCAAGGGGAGGGGCAAACAGCAGAAAGGAAGCTTTGTGTCAGGAATATGACATTGGTAGCCGGAAGCTGGAGCTTGGGCATCGGAGAAGGAGGGGAAGCCTTGGCCTGAGAGGTGGATTGCAGTCTCTGAAGCCTACGGCGCTGCGTGAGATCATGCTGTTCCCATCTCCTCATCCTCAGCCAGTATGCGCAGGGAAAGATCCTGCTTCCGCTTTTCATATGTCATGTTAAGCGAGGAGCCGCACAATGCTGCTGCAGAGGATTTTGCGCCATTTGACAAGGCGTGTGGCCTCGTCATCATGCTAGGGAGATGCCCTGCACTCAAGATTTTCTGAAGAAATCTGGTCAGTTGCAGTCGGTGCGAGAGAAGAACTCTTACCAACTACAGTAGGACGTTGCAGTGTCCCCTGCTGTTGCCAGCGATGTGTCGGACGCATCTGCAGAGTACATAGCACCCGTCTGGCTGAGGACCCCATGGAGCCACACGGAGCCCCATTCAAACCACAGAAAAACACAGGTCCGGATTCAAGCCCATTGGGCAGATGTGATTGTAGGAGTCCTGGCCTGGACAAAGCGCCGAAACAGGTTGCGACACAACAGGAGCTGAAAAAGTGGCGTGGAGGAAACCAGCCCGTTTGACTGCCAGCTGACTTCCACCTGAGAAATTCACTGAGAAACCCTGTCTGCAAGCCTTATGAATAAGGCAGTAGCGCTTTTCAGGGCGTTAGTTTTCATTGGGCTTCGCATAGTCGCATGCAACTCCACTCTACGCTGGAAAAGAGCGATTTGCCAATACTGCCCCTTCCCCACAACTAGCGGCCTTCTGTCGGAAGTGTCCTGAGTTTGTTTAGCCATACTGGCGCCAGTAAACTCTAGCACCAAACCACGCGCGCAACGCCTCAAGGTCCGAGGGCCCTGCGAATGCATTGCCCCACATCAAGACCATCGGCTCGTCGTCGCCCGCCTACCCAGGGCTGCTGTTGGGTTTCAGGGGTTTGAGAGCTCAGGGTCTAAGCCCCCTAAACCCTGCACCCTAAACCCTCCATGCCCCAGTCTCCTACGTTTCCTCATTGCTGGAGACCCTGAACCCTAAACCCTAAACCCTAAACCCTTAACCCCAAACGGAAAATCTGGAAAGACCCCCCGCTGCCCCAAAGTGCCGTCAACACTTGAAGCTATCCGGAAACATCTGACCCCAAAAGTCCGAAACCCCCGCCTTGAAAACAAAAAACAAGTATGTATGTATATATGTTTAGGGTTTAGGGTTTAGGGTTTAGGATTTAGGGTTTAGGGTTTAGGGTTTAGGGTTTAGGGTTTAGGGTTTAGGGTTTAGGGTTTAGGGTTTGGGGTTTGGGGTTTAGGGTTTAGGGTAGATGTAGATATAGAGATATAGATGTATAGTACTGATTTGTTGTTTACGGGCCGTCTTACTCCGGGGTTGGGCGATGCTGGAAATACTGCGGGGTTGGGGGATCTAGGGTTTAGGGTTTAGGGTTTAGGGCGAGGAGTAGACTGGGCGAGGAGAAGTGCTTTGCATGTGTTTAGCTAAAATCGAACAACCCCACACATGGAGGGTCGCGAAAAAGAAACCGCTCATTCAATACGCCCGCGCCTACACTACCCCGAAATCTCCAGAAATTATGACCGTTGGGCCTTGGCAGTCTCCTTGTACTGGGCGATGTTCTTTCGTGCACGGGCCTAGGAAACCCTTCCCCTGGCACAAGCCCGGCCCTGTAGGGATTAGGGTTTAGGGTTTAGGGCTTAGGGCTTAGGGTTTAGGGTTTAGGGTTTAGGGTTTAGGGTGTAGGGTTTAGGGTTTAGGGTTTAGGGTTTAGGGCAGCAGACTTGGTTCGGGGCGCTTAGGGACTCGGGCTTGGGACCCCAGCAGCTTTTCTGGTGACTTGGTGTTGCCTGAAACCCCTACTCTCCCAGACAACATGTTCAGGGTTTAGGGTTTAGGGTTTAGGGTTTAGGATTTAGGGTTTAGGGCTTAGGGTTTAGGGATTAGGGATTAGGGATGATCCCAAACCAAGCTTACATCCGATGATACCCCAAACAGAGCCTAGACCCAAGAGTAACCTAGGAAGAGAAAGGGTGCCTTCTTGGTGTAAAGGCGCATTATAGGGGACCTAAGCCCTAAAAAAGTGTAGCCCTAAACCCTAAACCCTCAACCCTAAACCCTAAACCCTAAACCCTGAACCCCAAAAAGTGGGTGAAGTTCTAAGTACGGGCCTACTCCGCATTCTCGAACCCTCAGAAGTCGGCGTGAGTGAGGTCTTCGTTCCATTTGCAATGTGTGTCTTCTCGCATCGCCCTCAGAAGTAGGTGTGAGGCGCCTACTGTTTTGTATAGCAATTGGGGCGCATTCCTGGAATCCTAGGAAGCTCTTGTTCCGAACCCAACAAAGAAGCTCCCAGGGTCGAAACGGGGCTCAGGAAGTGATCCAGCTCGCTGTTGATGAACCTCACGCTGCTTCTTGGTAGATAAGGGCTCAGGGTTGAGGGATGTCTAGGGTTTGGGGTTTAGGGTTTGGGGTTTAGGGTTTAGGGCTTAGGGATGTTGGTCGGAACTGTACAGGGTTCGGGTCCCAAGAAGTTTTGGCCGGGTTTTGAGCGAAAGTCTGGGGCAGGTTTTGGGCAGTTTTCTTTTTTTGCCGCCTAACCTTTTTAAACCCTTCAGAGCATCTGGTAGGGGGCCTCTGGGAGGAGGGCATCTGGGATGAGGCGAGAAAATACAACCCCCAAAAACCTACACCCTACAACCCTCAATGCCCCAGAACCATAAAAAAAACACATAAATAAACAAATATTTTACTTCGAACATCCCCACCCTCTCTTGGTAGAGATACTCTGCGGGTTGGGCACTCCAGCAACACTCTGGGGCTGGGCACTCTGGGGACAATCTGGGTTGGGCACTCGAGGGAGACTCTGGGGTTGGGCGCACTCCGAGGACACTCTGGGGTTGGGCACTCCAGGGTTGGGCCTCTGAGGTTGGGCACTTCAGGGAGACTGTGGGGTGGGAGACATGGGAGACTCTGGGGCTGGGCACTCCGGGAACACTCTGGGGTTGGGCACCCTAGGGAGACTCTGGGGTGGGTTTTCTGGGGTTGGGCACTCCAAGAGTTGGGCACTCCAGGGACGGGCGAGGAGAAGAGTTCCAGGCGAGGCGAAGAGTTCCGGGCGAGGAGAAGAGTTCCGGGGGAGGAGAAGAGTTGAGCTTAAAATCTAACAACCCCACACCGAGGGTGGGGAACAACAAAAAAAACTTAATCCCTAAACCCCAAACATTGCAAGAACCCTCAATCTCCCCAAAACCCTAAACCCTAAACCCTAAACCTCAACCCTCAACCCTAAACCCTAAACTCCAAACCCTAAACCCTCCGTGCAAGAAGGGCCCAGGAGCCAGTCGTGGGCGTCAACGAAGCTCGAGCCTCATGGTGTGGTAAGGGTTCGGGGGCTCTCTCAGCAGCGGCTGCTTTAGGTTCAGGGTTTGGGGGCTCATTTAAGTTTGGGGTTTAGGGTTTAGGGTTAGGGTTTAGGGTTTAGGGTTTAGGGTTTAGGGTTTAGGGTTTAGGGTTTAGGGTTTAGGGTTTAGGGTTTAGGGTTTAGGGTTTAGGGTTTAGGGTTTAGGGTTTAGGGTTTAGGGTTTAGGGTTTAGGGTTTAGGGTTTAAGGGTTTAGGGTTTAGGGTTTAGGGTTTAGGGTTTAGGGTTTAGGGTTTAGGGTTTAGGGTTTAGGGTTTAGGGTTTAGGGTTTAGGGTTTAGGGTTTAGGGTTTAGGGTTTAGGGTTTAGGGTTTAGGGTTAGGGTGTTTAGGGTTTAGGGTTTAGGGTTTAGGGTTTAGGGTTTAGGGTTTAGGGTTTAGGGTTTAGGGTTTAGGGTTTAGGGTTTAGGGTTTAGGGTTTAGGGTTTAGGGTTTAGGGTTTAGGGTTTAGGGTTTAGGTAGGGTTTAAGGTTTGGCTCGGATTTTCGGGTCTCTCTTCTGCAGGCGAAGAGGCTAAGGAGGTGCGACCACGCCGGCATGAGTCCCACCATATTCCTTTCAGGCATGGCCACAGGGGCCTCTTGATTCAGAAATGGATATTTGGGGGTTTACGATACTAAGGGTACCTTATTGGGGACCTTATTCGACGGGGATCCGATTATTTGGGGGCCTATGTTAGGGGCCCCTTATTTTCGTGAACCCCCATGTTGCATGTTTTCAAGGGGGACTGTAAAGGGATCATATTCTTGACGATCAGGCTCCTGCACAATCCTTCTGGCTATGGCGTCCTCAGTCGCAACACCACCTCGTGATGCAAAAACCCTAGACCCCTCAACCCCAAACCCTGAGGGTTTATGGGGTGCCTGCGCATCCTTTTCCATAAACTCTAACCCTAAACCCTAAACCCTAAACCCTAAACCCTAAACCCCAAACCCCAAACCCCAAACCCCAAACCCCAAACCCCAAACCCCAAACCCCAAACCCCAAACCCCAAACCCCAAACCCCAAACCCCAAACCCCAAACCCCAAACCCCAAACCCCAAACCCCAAACCCACACAAGTCTGAACTGCTGCACCTCAACCTGATCTCATGAAGATCGAGTCTCCAGACGCTAACCGAGCCTACCTCCAATTGAGGGCTAAAAGGGCTTGCAGGGTTTAGAGGAGTTTTAGGGTTTAGGGTTTAGGGTTTAGGGTTTAGGATGTAGAGATCCTCTATAGGGCCATAGGGTCTCAAGGGTTTGTCGGGTTTACAGGTTGAGAGGGTCAAGAGGGTTTGCAGGGTTTGCAGGGTTTGCTTGAGGGCTTCTCGTCTGATCTAGGAGCAACGTCCCTCAATCCAGTCTCCTGTGGTAGAGCCAGCCCTTGTCGTTTCGGGAGACTTTCTGCGTTGGCAGCTCGACCCGGACGAAGTCTGGCTCCTCGAGTACGGGGGTCAGGAGATGTAGGGCTGGCATTTTTGGGTTGCGAATAATGAAGCACATAAGAATTCTTAGGGGAGGATAATAAATCCTGAGCCGTAAAGTTAACCTCAAGATTCTGAGGGCAAAATCTTTGCCAGGCATTTTGCCGGAGCCAGTAGCTGCTGGACAGAGGCTCTTGTGGCGAGAACTCTCAAGCTGAGTTTAGGGTTTAGGGTTTAGGGTCTAGGGTTTAGGGTTTAGGGTTTAGGGTTTAGGGTTTAGGGTTTAGGGTTTAGGGTTTAGGGTTTAGGGTTTAGGGTTTAGGGTTTAGGGTTTAGGGTTTAGGGTTAGGTTTAGGGTTTAGGGTTTAGGGTTTAGGGTTTAGGGTTTAGGGTTTAGGGTTTAGAGTGCTGTAGCTCTGGCCCGATTATGGAGGGCCCTCAAACACCTTTCTGCCACCCCACGCCGTGCAAGGCGGCAAAGCCACCCAAAACTGTTTCTAAACCCTAAACCCTAATCCCCGAACCCTGTTCCCTTTGGGGGTTGAGGCCTAAACTCAAGTCAGTTGCCTACTTGCACAAAACTTCTTCCGCTGCCGGGCACAAGGCTCAAGGGTGTTTGAGGGCTTAAGCGAGCTTTCGAAACTTCAAGGCACAAGGGACGGGTTAGGGACACAGCCTTGGAATTTCAGGGTCTAAGGTTTCGGGTTTAGGGTTAGGGGCTTCAGGTTTGGCTCAGGGTTAGCCAGTTTAGACATGCACAGCCTTGGCTTCAGAGCCCCAGCACTGCCCAACAGCGACTCACAGTGCACCAATGTACCCTGACATCCACATCTCTGCACTCTAAGCCCGAAACCCTAAACCCTGAACACCTCAACCCCGAACCCTAAAGCTAACCTTAAGCCCTTCACTCAAAACCCTGAAACCGTGAACCCTAAAGCCTACACCTTACGAACCCTGCATGGGTTCGCTGGCTTCGGTTTGAGCGCTTAGGCCCCGCCCCTTTCTTTGCAACGCTTAATGAAACTCGGAACCCTGTTTTTCAGGGTTCAGGGTTCAGGGTTCAGGGTGTAGGGTGTAGGGTGTAGGGTGTAGGGTGTAGGGTGTAGGGTGTAGGGTGTAGGGCTAAATACCCTTAACCATCAGTCGACCTCGTCTCCACCACTGTCTTTGTCGGTGTAGAACACGTGCCCGTCGCACTTGGCGTACCTTTCCGAACATCAGGGTAGGGTTCAGGCCCCTGTCAGTGCTTGAGGAGGTTTTGGGTGCAGGGGTATAGGGTTTAGGGTTTAGGGTTTAGGGTCTAGGGTCTAGGGTTTAGGGCTTTGCAGGGCTTAGGGCTCAAGGCTTAGTCAGAGTAAACATCCTGCTGCGTCCGCGGCCACTTCCTGGCAGGGCCGTACAAACCCTAAACTCCTAAACCTTGGGATGTTCCCCCTTAGACTAACAGTCCTTAACAAGGATTTAAATACCCCCGATTATGATCCCGATTCAGGACCGCGGAACATCCCAACCTAAGCCCCTGAAGCCTAAACCTCCAAATCCGAACCTGCAAACGGCTGTATGATGGGACCTTCAAGCCTGAAGAACTGCAGGACTCCAACCCCTAAACCCTAAACCTTAAACCCTAAACCCTAAACCCTAAACCCTAAACCCTAAACCCCAAACCCCAAACCCTAAACCCTAAACGCTTTCTTCTTCATTCAAGCGGCTGCTTCCGTACCTCCACTAGCAGCTGCTCGTCGTAGCCGCGACGTGGGGTCCTGAGGGGGCGTGGATGGATGGGCTTAGCTTCAAGATTAGTCCTCAAATCGGGCGTAGGAGGGTTTGGGGTTTAAGGGTTAAGGGTTTAGGGTTTAGGGTTTAGGGTTTAGGGGTTTAGGGGTTTAGGGGTTTAGGGGTTTAGGGGTTTAGGGGTTTAGGGGTTTAGGGGTTTAGGGGTTTAGGGGTTAGGGCTTTTGGGTAGAGGATTCAGAGTTTAGGGTTTTAAGGGTTCAAAGGGTTCAGAGGGTTTAGGGACTCCTAAACCCTGAACCCAGTCTTGGTCCAGGGTTCCTCAGCCACAGAGGGGACGCGAGAACCGACCCCAATTGCTCAAACCTCCATCCAAACCAAAATCCTAAGCCGGTCGTGCCCCCAACCCCAAAGATTTTGGTGTGTAGGGTTTAGAGTTTAGGGTTCAGGGTTCAAGGTTTAGGGGGAACATCCCGAGCTAAACCCTAACCTTAAACCCTAAACCCTAAAACTGCAGGCAACCACCCCGTCCAGGCGAAGCAAAACAGCGAGAGGCCGTCGCTCCGGCGCTCCTGCACACGAGGGTCTCGAGGATTTTTTGGGGTTTAGGGTTTAGGGTTTAGGGGGTGAGGGGGTGAGGGTTCAGGGTTCAAGGGGTTGAGGGTTTAGGATGTATGCTCTAGGGGTTCAGGGTTGAAGGTGTGTTACTAGAGACGTGGAGGGCTTGCATGCGGGGTTTAGGCTGGAGGGGATTCTGGATTGGCCCCAGATGCAGCCTACATCCCCACAAGCCCCATCTCTGTTGGACTAACTGTCACAGCCTCGGCTGTCCCCGGCGGTGCTGTCGCGGGTTGCGCACCCAAGGGCGCAGGCGCAGCCGTGGGCGCCATTGCGGGCGCAGCTGCCGCAACCGGGGCAGGAGCCGCAAATGGTGGCGGCGCCGCTGAGGGAGGACCTGGTTTGAGAAGATGATTATTATATGATTTTTTATTGTTATGATTTTATTTTGTTTTTTAGCAATATTTTTTTATTGCTATTGAACTTCGTTCAATCTGCACCGCGCGATCCTAACGCGGCCGTAGCCTTCGGAAAGATCGGCGTCTTGGAGTTTGAAGGCGTTGCCATGTGTCACAGACCAGACCCGGGGTCTTTAAGTCGTGTGAGCTAACCTAAGCCTGAGGCCACGAACCCGAATGCAAGCTAAGCGCATGAACAACAGCCCACCCAACAACAGCATAGGACACCAGAACTGCAAAGCGGCTGCTGGTCGACTCCGCGGAAGAACCAAAGTAGCCGTCCAGCACGGACACCTGCTGCACTCTGTTGTTTCTGGTTTCCACAAACAAGCCCTACAACTATGAGGGCTTCGGGTTTAGGCTTCAGCGCTTTTAGGGCTTACCCTAAACACCGAAACCCTAAACCCTAAGCCCTAAACTCGCTTTTGGGGGTTCAAAGCTCCTCGGAGTTGAGGAATCCGAAGTCGGACTCGAGGAAGTCGTTGGCCTAAATTGGGAACCGATTCGGGGAAGCAGGGGGGGGGGGGGGGGGGTTTTGGGGGTGGGTGTTCGGTTGGGGGGGGGGGGGGGGGGGGGGGTCTAGGGCTTTCTAGAATCAAGGGCTTCGGGTTTAGGGTTGAGGGCTGTAGGGATTTAGGGTTCAGGTTCAAAGGTTCAGGGCTCCAAGGGCCCAGGCCCTTGACTCGTTGTGGACGCAACGCTTTGCAGGCGCAAGAGCTCTTTCTGCAACAAGCGGGCTTCGAGCGAATTTGTCTTTTGCAGCCGGCTCAGCGACTGCGTGCACCGAAAGTGTAGGAAGTCATGGGTTTCTGTACGACCCCCCTCTATGCTACCCCCCCGCCTCAGTTTCCCCTTAAACAGCCGTAGCCTTGATTATGGGCGGAACCTGGAAGGGTAGTATAGAAGGGAGTAGTAGCGGAACCCATGAAACCAGGCTGCAGACACGTGCTCTGCCTGCTGACGCCATGCTCTTATCGCAACACCTGCAGACACACCTTCTGTGACTTGCAGGCGTGCAAGTGCGTCAACCACAGCCACATGCCCCAGAGGAGTCAGAAACGGTGCAAACAGAATTGAGCCAGCCGAATCCTGTGTTGAGAGGAATCATCATGCAAACCATTGCACAACTCAAGTCAACGTCCTCAAGGACAAAGAATAGAGGCTGTGACGAAGCAAAAGGACCTGGACGGAACAGGGCTGTTTGCCCCGTGAACTCTGATAGAATCGTGGTGGCCACGGCGAAACCGTTCGCGAAACCTCATACTTCTGGAGAAGCTCTTTAGCTTTTGCGAGATAATCAGACGACGCCCTATGTTTTAGAGCTATTGAGGATTGCCACGCGTACCACCTGTCGCAAAAGGAGTACTGTACTCTGTGGCCCTGACGGCCGTCCGACATCAAGCCGGTGTGACTGTCAAAACTCAATTTGCGCTGCCTTGGGCAATGCGCAGGGCCTGCATGGCCTCACGAGCCTGCAACCTCCCTTCCTCCCCACACTTTCTCGCCGCCAGGCTCACCACGGCGGCAAAGCTCGCTTGGAGAAGGTAGCGCAGCAGGCGTCGCGGAAACGGTTTGTTTGGGAGCAACTCCCCGGGCTCTCTGTTCTGGGACTTCTCAGACTTCTCAGGCTTCTCAGACTTCGCAGACTTCTCACGCTGGAGCTCACTCGTGAAAACACTGAAGAGGGCCTCGAGGGCCTCGAGGGCCTCGTCTCGGAGCCCTGCAGCATGGGCCTTGTTGCGGAGCAGCCGGAGGGTCACACAGAGGAAGTCGGCCTTGGACATCGCTTCCATGTGGCGGTGCAGGTGCCCATCGAGCTTCATGCCGCGTGTGTGGGGAACGTGGCAGAACTCGCAGCCGTCACCCGCCTCGCAGTGTCTGCCCGCCGCAGCGTGCACACAGGCGCGCTGGCAGAGGAGAGGGTGCCCCAAGCTTCCAACATTCTCGGGTCCTCGTAGGCCCCCTTTTGGCTTCGGCAGCGACTGCGCGTAGCGGCGCATCCCAGCCTCTGCGCCAAACCCTGCCTCCTCCGTGCTAGCCCCTGTCTCCGTCTCACCTCGCGGAGGGGCGCTGTGCGCGCGGCCTCCCCTGCAGCCGTGGGATTCTTGAGCCCGGTCCTCGCCCTCCAGGAGCACGTCGAGGAAGGTAAATCGGTAGGCGACCCGGGCCATCCCCCGGAAGCCTCTTTGAACTTTGAGCCGAGGAAAACTTTGCAAAGGAGACGTGACAAGAGCGGCACACCGGCTTCACCCATTTGTTCCGACAGGGACCCGAAGATGAGTTGGACCATGCTGGGACAGAAAGCCGCAATCTTGTGCTCATTCAGGTCCCGGGGCCCTAAACCCTAAACCCTAAACCCTAAACCCTAAACCCTAAACCCTAAACCCTAAACCCTAAACCCTAAACCCTAAACCCTAAACCCTAAACCCTAAACCCTAAACCCTAAACCCTAAACCCTACTCCCCCCCAAACCCTTCCAACTCTGCAGCCAAGGTGCCACGATCAGCATCACCGCCGTCCTCGGGTCCGCTTCGCGTTGGGTTGGGGGCCCTAAACCCTAAAACCCTAAAACCCTAAAACCCTAAAACCCTAAAACCCTAAAACCCTAAAACCCTAAAACCCTAAAACCCTAAAACCCTAAAACCCTAACACCCTAAACCCCTAAAACCCTAAAACCCTAAAACCCTAAAACCCTAAAACCCTAAAACCCTAAAACCCTAAAACCCTAAAACCCTAAAACCCTAAACCCTAAACCGTGTGAAGATGGTTGGAGGCAGCAGGGTGTGAGACGATCGGTTGCTCTGAGGCACCTGTGGCTTATCCTAAACCTCCAAACCCCCAAAACCTCCAAAAAATAGAGCGCCTCTAAACAAAACCTGTAGCAAAAAAAGTTAAACCCTGCCCCCTAAATCCTAAACCCTAACCGCTCAATCCGAAACCCTCTAAACCCTCCAAACCCTCAAAACCCTCAAACCCTCAAAACCCTCTAAACCCTCCAAACCCTCCTAAACCCCCTCCCAAACCCCCTTAAGACCCCTAGAGCCCTAGACCCAACAAAAGCAACAAACCTCTTTCAAAGCTCTGAGCGCCCTAAACCCTCGACCCAAGATGCAACAAACCTCTTTCAAAGCTCTCAGCGTTTGCAGCCCGAGGCGCACCAGGCCTGCCAAGCCGGCCGCGGCCGCGGAGACGCGTCGCATCGCGCCCGGGCTCTGCCATGATCTCCCCCCAGCGGTGGGGAGAGGGTTCTGGGGGGTTTCTAGGGTTTAGGGTTTCGGGTTTAGGGTTTAGGGTTTTTAGGGTTTTTAGGGTTTAGGGTTTAGGGTTTAGGGTTTAGGGTTTAGGGTTTGGGGTGTTTAGGAAGGGTTTAGGGATGTTTAGGGTTTAGTAGGGTTGCTGGGGTTTGAGGGTAGGGTTCTGGAGGGTTTGAGGTTCAGGGTTTGAGGGTTTGAGGGTTTGAGGGTTGCAGGGTTCTAGGGTTCTAGGGTTCTAGGGTGCTAGGGTTCTAGGGTTCTAGGGTTTCAAGGTTCTCGTCTTCTGTCCAGTTCTAGGGTTCAGGTTCTCTGGTGAGGCTCCAGGCTCAAGGCAAAAGAGCTCCAGGAATGCCAAACTCCGTTTTGGGTGCCATGCTGCCGGCCCCCCTTGTAGGCCCCCTAAACGCAATAATCCCTAATAATCCTTTAAACCTTATAAAAACCATAAACCCTACAAACCCTAGTAATCCCTAGTAATCCCTATTAAACCCTATAAAACCTAGAAACGCTACAGACCCTATCAACCCCACAAACCCTGCGAACTCTAAGCCCCAAAACCCTAAACCCTAAATCCTGGAGTGCTACTTCGGAGTCAGCTGGAACCCTGAGCGTGGCTCAAGGGGAGGGAGGATTGGCTTCAGGCCGTGTCCGGGTTCAGGGTTGAGAGGGTTTAGGGCTTCGAGACTTTGGCGGGACTTTTGGTATCTTTAGGGGGTTTAGGCTTTTAGCGTTTTGAGGGTTTTGTGGTTTTACTTCTGTGCTAGGGTTTTGGGGAGGCTGAGGGACCTGGGCCTCGGGGTCTTGCACCTTCCACTGCATCTGCTTGGGTGGGGAGGGCTCTTCCCCCCCCCGTAGCACCCTAACACCCTGAAACCCTAAACCCTGAGCTCGCCAACTTTTAGGGTTTGGGGTTTAGGGTTTAGGGTTTCGGGTTTCGGGTTTCGGGTTTCGGGTTGGCGGCCTTAAGGGTTTCGGTCGGCTTGGGGGCATTTTTGCTCTCCCGCTTCGTCGGCAATCGGAGGAGGTACGAACCGGGAGCCAACTGGGTGAGACAGCACCGCCGCCAGTCGCAACGAGGCCTCTCAGCTCCTCCCCTTTAAACCCTTTGAATCCTTTAAACCCTCTGAAGCCCTAAAACCCTTTAGGCCACTAGCCCTAAACCCTAAACCCCTAGCCCCTAAACCCTGAACCCTACACTGCACCGCAAGGAAAATCCAAGACTCCTCAGTTGCGGCGGCGCGGTGCGCGCAGAGTAGCGCTCGTAGGCTCACGGGGGTTGGTTGGTGGTTTGGAGGGTTCCGGGCTTGCAGTCTCGGTCCGGGGCGGCGTTGATGGGGCCGGGGATATGGTTTAGGGTTTAGGGTTAGGGTTTAGGTTTTAGGGTTTAGGGTTTAGGGTTTAGGGTTTCGGGTTTAGGGTTTAGGGTTTAGGGTTTAGGGTTTAGGGTTTAGGGTTTAGGGGTTTTGAGGCTCATGGAGCCTTTGGGGATTTCCAGCCAGCGGCCGGTGAAGGGAAATCGATCCACACCATCAGAAAACTCGTGCGACCCTGATTGCCCGCTTGGCGTACAGCTTCCATTCCAGCTCCATCCTCAACCCAAGAGTTGCCCCAAACCCTAAACCCTAAACCCTAAACCCTAAACCCTAAACCCTAGACCCTGAATCCTAAAGCTGCCCTAAAGTTGCCCTAAAGTTGCCTGACTACTTCGGAGAAGCTGCTAGGAATCGGAGCTGGCATGGGGAAGCGTGGTACCTTGCGGGGGGTTCTTACCTGGACCCCTGGGGGCAGGGGGGGGCTCTCACGTGGAGTCCGACGATAGGTTACCCTAAACCCTAAACCCCAAACCCTAAACCCTAAACCCTAAACCTTTCTGGGTATGGTGGGACTTCAGGTCGGCTTGCAGCCCCCTCACTGGTACACGGTACCAGCGCCTTCCAACGGTTGTGGCGCCGGCGCGGTCTGCAAGCCTCCAGCTTGGGGTTTAGGGTTTAGGGTTGAGAGTTTAGGGTGTAGGGTGTAGGGTTTAAGGGTTTGGGGCTTAGGGTTTAGGGTTTAGGGTTTCGAGTTCAGGGTTTAGGGTTTAGGGTTTAGGGTTTAGGGTTTAGGGTTTAGGGTTTAGGGTTTAGGGTTTAGGGTTTAGGGTTTAGGGTTTAGGGTTTAGGGTTTAGGCTGTAGGGCTTCGGGCTCTGGGTTTTGAGTCCTGTCGGGCCTTGGGGTTGAAAGGAACCCCAGACCCTAAACCCAGTTAGTTCGTGTTCGGGTTTAGAGTCAACCCTCCACCCTCCACCCTCAACCCTCAACCCTAAGAGTCAACCCTAAACCCTAAACCCTAAACCCTAAACCCTAAACCCTAAACCCTAAACCCTAAACCTAAACCTTAAACCCTAAACACCCTCAACCCTCCACCCTCAAGCCTCCACCCGCAACCCTAAGAGGTTGCCCACTCCATGCCCACAAGGGCCCAAGAGCACCTTGGGGACGAAATGAACCCCAAAAGGGTTTACGGTTCATATACCTTAAAAAGGGTTTATGGTTCATATACCTTAATAGGAATTATAGTAGTATAGGGTATAGGACCCCAATTTTAGGGTTCGTTTGGTCCCCAAGAGCAGGCCCCTGCCTTGAGAAGGAGCCCACGGCATGTTGTTCATAGAAGGCACAAAGGCCTGAGGCTTGGTGTTTAGGAGGTTTAAGGGGTTCTAAGGGGTGTCAGGGGTGTAAGGGGTTTAGGGTTTAGTGTCTAGGGTTTAGGGTTTAGGGTTTAGGGTTTAGGGTTTATAGAAATAGGGTTCAGGGCCGAAGTTTTGGGCGGGTTTTGGGCGGGTGTTGGGCGAAAGTTTGTTGTTGTGCTTTTGGGGGCCTTTTGGGGCCTCGAAGGGCTCCGTGGGTTTTGGCTTGATCCATTTGAAGGAAACCTCTGACGGCTTTTGAAGTTTTGTTTAAGTCGAAATTTTGGGCCTCTTAAGGCCTTTGAAGCCTCGTTTAAGTACATTAAGCCATTTGCCCCCAGGGGCGCTTTGGATTTTGGTTGGGGACGGGGCTTTGTGGGGTGCCAGCTTGCTTCGACAAACAACTTTGTAAATTCAGAATGATATCACATACAATTTCTATTTATTCGGGTCTTGAGAGTTTAGGGTTTAGGGTTAGGGTTAGGGGTTTAAGGGGTTTAGGGGTTTAAGAGGTTGAAGGGGTTGAAGGGGTTTAAGGGGTTTAAGGGGTCCAGGATTCCTCGGGCTTAGGGCTTACGGTTTTTAGGGTTTTGGGTTTAGAGTTGAGGGTTTCAGGTTTAGGGTTTAGGCTTTAAGGAGCCTAGGGCTCAGTGTCCCTTGGTGTCCGAGGCTGAAGCAAGGATCTCGAAGCTCATGGGGAAAATTCAGGGAATAAGAACACGGAGGAACAAGATCAGCGAAGGAGGAGAACGAAGTAGAGTTGCCGATGTGTGCTTACAAGCCGAAACATGCTGAGATAGGAAGAGAGAAGAAAATGAAAGAAACTCCTTTCAAGACAGAAAACCTTCACCTTGCTTGGCACGTGGTTACTCATTCAAACACAAGAAAAACCTAACAAAAACTGTGCCTATTGACCCCAGAACACTGTAAGACTCCTTCAGGAGCTCCAAGAGCACCGTATCGGACACCCTTATTGGACTCTCCACAGCGCGCGGCGCCGAGGGGAGGGCGCCGGGGCCCATTTAGGGTGTAGGGTTTAGGGCTCAGGGATCGGAAACATGAGAATGACAGATTTCGGGGGTGGACTAAGGTTGAGCTTGAAGAGGATCTCGAAACGAAGATCGCCAAGTGCCACCCCCCCTAAACCGACCATGCAGCTGCCGAAACCCCCCCAAATCCCAAACCCCAATCCCTAAGTCCGAAAACCCAAACCCCCCAAAGCCCTAAACCCAACAAAACCTCAACCTC